CCCCCCCTCCGGCACAAGGTCTTTTTGTCTGTGTTTCGATCTGGAGACTTAGCGGCTACGGTGAAAGTCCATCAAATCACGGTGCCTGACTAAAGCTCTCGATTTGGTATTAAATTAGATATTGGGGATTTCAGAGATATTCGGTTGTAACCAAGTTTTTGGAGATGTGCTTTAACTCAGGTGTCTAGACTGGGACCTGGTTCTGGCTCACACGAATTTGCAAGACTGGGCTGTGAAATTTTTTTGGGGAAAAATAGGTACTAGATGATGCACCTAATGAGGAGCAATTTTTAGAGATGTCCATCCCATGCTGAGGCATCTGTCCTGTTTGCTGGGCTTTAGTCGTCACTCCGATGTCACCTGCTGGGTGATATCTGTGGCACGCCGGAGCATCACTCCAGGTCCTCAGCCCTCCGAAGGTGCAGAAGGGCCCTTGGTGTTGCAGAGAAAACAAGTGGTGTTTTTTTGCAGCTGTTTCTTTACCCAGTTTGGGGTAAGTTTGGTGCATTAAGTATCTTCTTAAAAAAAAAAAAGGTGATTAAAATGTAAAAAAGTGTCTGCAAGGATATTCTGGAACTTTGGAAGCTCATCTTATTATTAGTTTTCCTCAGATCTCTAACTACAATTGAAAAGCATCAGTCAATAAATTGGAACAAAATCCAGGCAAAATTTCTCAGCTGACTGCTTGAATTAATTACGAGGCAAGGAGGCAAGTTACTTTATGAGCAATAAATTTCTTTATTATAACACAGCTATGGGGCACTTTAAATTTCTCCATTGCTTGACATGCCTTGGACAAAACCTGATCTCTTCTAAAAGATACGTTTAATTCGATTGATGCAGGAACAAAAATATTGTGGTGTCAGGGTTGTGATATACATTGGAGCTTGGTTTTTTCATGCCCTTGGATGAAAGTGAACAAGTCTTTTTTTCCAATTTCTGATCTATATATGAATAGTTGTCTTTTAGTTGGCAAATTTCAGTGAACAGAGACGTGTGTTTGAAGCCTGCAAAGACTGGAAGTCTCTTGAGATTATTATATATTTTTTTTAAATGAATGGTATTCAAGGTTTTTTTTCCCTCATACCCTTACGGGATTAAAAATATGTTTAAGTTCCGTCTCCTTCTAGGTTCAAGGCTGGTGGCTGTTTGCTCTGGAAAGACCACTTAAGCACTGAGCCATTGTATTATTGTAGCAGGTTGTAGCACATTCTCCGCTGCCTTATTAACAGTGCTGGGCAATCCAGTGTCACTGAGGTCTCCTTAGTTCCCCCCACCTTCCCCATGGCCCCATGATCCAAAGAGCTGTACACATCAGGGACAAGAAACGTTTCCCTTCCATAAGCTCTTGCACATTAATTTATCCAAAGGACATTTACATGCTGTTTGGGGGGTGGAAAGTGCCTTTATTTTAAAGCATCAGACTGGGATCTTAGAGGTTGGAGATGAGTTTCTCATTTCAACGTCCCCCAGCTTATCGCAGGGGCTCTTTGAGATTTTGGAGGACTCCTAGCTCCTGAGCACGCTGTGAGGAGAAGTGAGTTGTATGGCTGCTCGCATGCTGGAGGAGCCAGTAGTTGTAATTTGGCTGCTTGGGAGCGTGTCCCCACACAAACCCTGCAGTGGAGGGTGCCATGTGTGATGCGCCAGACCAAAAGCACTCAGTTTCCCAAAAAGGGGAAAAAATGAGGTGGTGTTAAATCATCTGGAACGTGGGATCCCTCTTTTGGTGTCATGCCAGGTGGCATCTGTCAAGGTGCATTCTGACCAGGATGCCTCCAAAATCTCATCTGTCTGGCTGCTCAAAGCAGCCATGAGTTTTGCTCTGTAAGAATAATGATGTTTAAATGCCCACCAGCATGCTGGTTTCACTGGGTGATGGCAGAGCTACGGCTTAAATGCATGACACGACCAGGGGCTTACGGATAGCACTGGGAGGGAGTAGTGAGGCAAGTGTCTCAGGGCAGAGGCTACAGGGGAGAGATGGTGCGGATGGGAATGTCCACAGCGTGTCCTTTGGGGCACAACTCACTGCTGTGTTATCTGCGTTTCTTTGCTTTATACTTTGTGATGATTTTCACCGTGTGTGATGCTTCCCCTCCTATAGGGGTTTCTGCCATGGTCATTCTCCTAGAGTTTGAGATTGCAGTGTCCTTCCACTGTTTGTGTCTCTTGGAGGAGAGGATGGAAAGGGCATAATAATAAAAGCATCTTATGGTAATAACCCCTTACATGGACTTGTTTTCATGTACACAAGGACCTGCAGTCCTCATTTAAAGCATTGCTCCTGTAGCATGGTACTTTTGGGTAAACATGCTTTTGGGTCTCTTCTAGCACAGAGACAATGTCTTGCTTGTGCCAACAGGAGTTACCCTGATGATCTGAAAGGAGAATTGGACCATTTCGTGTGTCCATCCTGTGTAACATGGCCAGTCAGAAATATGGCTATAAAATTACAAGAATTTAGCTGGAGTCCGCATGTAACTAAGCCAAATGGACACCTCTAGCAAATTAGAGTCCCTTCTCCAATTGGTGTCAGTTAGGTGGTCTTTGCCCTGCAGCACTGATGTGCAGAGAGAGCAGGCGGTCCTCAGGTCAGCTGTGAAACTGCTTCATCCTCCATGGTCACCCCTCTAGCACAGACAGATGCACTCTGTGAGTCACACTTCTACCTGTCCTCATTGCTTCAGACTGAATACAAACCCGTTTAATACAAACCCTCTTTCATCCAAACCACCCAGAGGGCTGGTGGCACTCCCATGGTCTCTATCGGCTCTGGAACCTGCCTACATCAGGGAAGATCTCTGGATCTTAGAGTTGTCAAAGCCTCTGCTCAAGCCAATTTCCTCCTGTCCCAGTGGTATGTCCTTAAGACATTTTTGGGATAGAAAATAAAACCATCTAGTGAGATAATCTTTTAATAGGACTTTAGTTGCTGAGATAGCCTAAAAATATAGCAGCCTTGTGCACTTGTGTCATGGTCTAAGCTTTCCTCCTTGAAGAGGTAAATTTAAGTGTCTCAGGAGGCATCTTAAAAATGTAACTCAATTTTTCCCTTCCACTGGGTTGAACAGAAATGATGGCTATCTCTGCTCTTTGGGTTAGCTTCCATTTAGCTGAAAACTCCCATTTAATTGCCTTGCTGATGTCACTAAAATGAATCAGTTAATTTGGGAAACAGTGACCTATTCAGCAAAGTAACCAATGACTTGTTATGCCCCACTCCTAATTCTGCGCGGTTGCAATTGCAGGTCCTCATACGAAAGTGGTTCGTCGCATTTTTACCAATAGTCGGGAGAGGTGGAGACAGCAGAACGTCAACGGAGCCTTCGCAGAGCTTCGCAAGCTCATCCCCACCCACCCACCGGACAAAAAACTGAGCAAGAATGAGATTTTGCGCCTGGCTATGAAATACATCAACTTCCTGGCCAAGCTGCTCAATGACCAGGAGGAAGAAGGAAACCAAAGGGGCAAAGTGAACAAAGACTCGGGGATAGTCCAGGAAGACCTCCTGCAGGACATGTTGTCTCCTAACTCTAGCTGTGGAAGTTCTTTAGACGGAGCAGCAAGCCCAGACAGCTTCACGGAAGAGCACGAACCACTCGATTCGAAGCACACGCGGAGCCTGCACCATGCCATTCTCCCTGTAGAAGGCAATGCGCAGCGGTGATGACCCTCAGCATCGCTCCCGACGTGCCAAGCGGGGAGGCGAGACCAGAGGTGTGGATGCTGGAACTTGTTCCCGTGGGATTTGTGACTCTGCCTTTCCCTGGGGGCTCAGGCTCCCCCTTCTCCCCAGCCTGGGACGGAGCGGCCGGTGTGTTGGCCGAGGACAAGACCAAACCAGATGGACATTCGGCATTTAGGTACGTGATCGTACAAAGAAGAAAAGCATTGAAGTAATCTTCATTGTACATACTGCTCGTGATGTGACTCTGTGGAGGGGTGGGAGGCGCAGCCAGCGCCTCTCCAGCACTGAGAGGGTTTTCAAACCATTTGACGATCGTTTCTTTTTAAGCAGTTGCCTGGCTGGGACATGAAACTCCTCTTTCACTGCTCGTGAAGGCCACTGATACTCTCCAGCTTCCTGTGGCGCTGGAGACTGCTGAGACCTGCCAGTGCTGCAGCATTTCTCCAGCCTGTGCCACATACAACTGGTCTGAGCAGGAGCTGGGGCCACGTGTTCCTGTTGTCTGAGAGCTTTTGACTGTATCTTCTTAAAGAGGTGAAAAAAATACCCTCAGCAAAAGAACTATTAAAAGGATTAAGACTTTTTATTTTTCTCTCTCTTTTTTTTTCTCCCCCTTTCTTTCTTTCCCTTCTATCTAGCTTTGGATTGTTTGGGGTTGTTGTATTTATGACGTGGGATTACTTCTGTTTAATGTTGTCATGCAGTATCCACGGAATGAAAAGGTACAGAGGTGTTTTCTGCCGGCCTCCCATGCCCTGATTTTTCTGCTGGTAATGCTCAGTGGGTGAGCTTCGAGCCTGCTGTGTTCTCCTAGAGTTTTCCTAGTGGTTTCTGTAGGGCTTCTCTCAAGGAAGATGAATTTCAGAACTGATAAGGGGAAAAAAAAAGTTGCTAGTGAAGCATCCTGAGGAATTTTTAATTCAAAGAGCAACAAAAAGGCAAAAGGAGTCAATGATGCATCAACAGTGTGCATGTACATAGGATTATAAAAGGGTTTTAATGGTATGCTTTGAATTTTTTAGTTTTATTGTGTGAAAATGGTGGTGGTTCAGCTGTGCCAATGCCCGGAGGCTGGACTATGGCGCTGGATTTATTCCAGCGTTAGGAGGGTCCTCACCTGCCGAGGCTGGTAGGAGGCCACAGCTTCTCCCAGTCTTCTGGGGAAGCACTAAAAGCACTGGGGGAATTTGCCTCCCTTCCTGAGTGCTCAGATTCCTGCAAAATTGGTGTCTGTGACCGAGTCGATCGTGCTGTGGGAGCTGAGGATCACACGGTGCCATCACCGCTGCATCAGGCCCATCTCACACCCAGTGCCTGATGAGGCGACTGCCCCAAGCCCATCTTCTCTCCCTTGGATGAGATTTCAAGGCAAGAAATCTCCACCATGCTACAATAATTAACGTACATCCTTTGGAAGGGAAAAAGTCCTTTGAGTGGGGACACCTTCCACCACACTCATTCCTTTTCACAGGTGCTGAGGTACAAGGAAACAGGATTTTGGAGGATTTGGGCGGGTGTCTGCAAGCCCGTCCAGGCTTAATTCAGAGCCCCATCATTTTCATCCCTGCTTGGTTTTAATTCCTCTTTGTAAATAATAGGTGGAAGGCTGGTGTGTGGGTTGACATGTTAGGTAGAATTAGTTGCCTGGGAAGGGGTCCTGGCCCAAGCAAGGGTTTCCAGCATAGACCTCAAATGCTGTGAAACAACCGATCTCCCCCATCTTAAATTGGGGGAAAGGAGGAAAACACCTTCCTGGGTCCTGATCACCCGTGTGTGGGGTTTGTCATTAAAGAGGGTTTCGTGCAGGGCCGGGTTAGGGGAGAGGTGCTGGCGGTGATGGAGCGATGCTGAGGAAAAGCTTTGGGCTGCCCCCGGTGCCAGGGGTAGAAGAGGTGGGTGGTGGGGGCCCGCCAGGGTGGGACAGGTGGTGCTGTTCCATTTACCACACAGGTAAAGCCGTTCTTGGCTTTCAGCATTTGAAATAATCGTGGGCTGGATGGGGTTTGACACCGTTTTAATTAAGTATTGCAAGAAAAAAACCACTGACACTTGGAAATTCCTCATTCCCCACAACTGTATTATTTTTTAAAAATGCTTTTGGTAGCTGAACAGTTGGGAAAATGGTACAATCTTGGCGGCACCCCCTGCTCATAGCCCTTAGCAGAGCGCACCGCAGGCTTCCCAGGGTATGTACAGTTGTACTTTAATTGTGATTTGAATGGTACATTTCCTCTGCCCGCCTCTCCTCCTGCCTGCTTCATCTCTTGCTGTGTGGACCGTGATCCCCAGTTCTGCTGGGAACAGCACTCTGGGGCAATGTTGTACCGTATGAGTGACTTCCCACCTTACGATTTTTGGGTTTTTCAGCCCCATCCCTTTCTTTGCCATCCTCCCCTTGGATTTCTGCATTTTTTCTGCAGAAACAAAGTAATCAGACCTGGTACCCTGAGTCTCAACCCACTGTGGATGTGCTATTTAGAAAACACATTTGTTGTAATGTGTGTGTATATATAAATATATATATATAT